TGGAACATCCAGGTGCTCTTTTGCAAACTTCAAACGTGCTGCAATATTCTTTTTGGACAGCAATGGCTTCCTCCGTGGTGTCCTCCCACGTACTCCATTCTTGTTTAATGTTTTCCTTATTGTAGATGTGTCAACAAAAATGTTAGCATGTGCCAGAGATTTCTGTAGGTCTTTAGCTGACACTCTGGGATTCTTCTTTACCTCATGCAGCATTCTGCGCTGTGCTCTTGCAGTCATTTTTACAGGACGACAACACCTAGGGAGAGTAGCAACAGTGCTAAACTTTATCCATTTGTAGACAGTCTGCCTTACCGTGGACACATGAGCATCAAGGCTTTTGGAGATACTTTTGTAACCCTTTCCAGCTTCATGCAAGTCAACAATTCTTGATCGTAGGTCTTCTGAGAGCTCTTTTCTGCGAGGCATGGTTCACATGAGACAGTGCTTCTTGAAACCAGTAAACCCAAAACAGGTGTGTGTTTTTTTAAGGGCAGGACAGCTGTCAGCAACACATCCAATATCATCACACTGATTGGAGTCAAGGTTGGCTCACTCCTGGCTCCAATTAGCTCTGGGAGAAGTCATTAAGCTAGGGCCTCACATACTTTTTTCCTCCCTGCACTGTGAATGTTTACGTGTTATGTGCAATTAAACCATGGCAACATCTAATGTTTGTGTAGCATTATGTTCAGCAGACTGTGTTCTTCTATTCTTGTGACTTAGATGACGTTCAGAGCACATTTTATGCCCAATTCATGCAAAACTCCATGTAATCCCAAGGGGTTCACATACTTTTTCTTGGAACTGTATATATATATATATATATATATATATATATATATATATATATCTCATTGCGGTTTCATCAAGTGGTTTACCGGGGTTATGGTTGAAGATGTCAGACATAGCCTTGGTATCTTATTTTCGTGCCAGCAGCTGGCTTTCTAATGAAAGCGATCCAAGTGGCTCATTAGCTTTTAGTAGCAACGGGAGGGGGCACCCCCTCCTCCTCTTGCCAGTGTTTCTCGGGCTTACTGTTAAAACTGGTGCGCCCGAGACACAATCCGATAGTGTGGCCGGTTGCTCCTAGAGGCAATGAGAGACTTTATCGTCTCTGATCACCTCTATGGCATTAGATGACCTGAGTGACGTCATGACATCACATCTGGTCCAGGGTTGATGTAAACATTTTTTTTTCTTTTTTAAAGCAAAAGATAAAAAAGGCTTTTAAAAGGTAAAGGAGAGATTTGGAGTCTTTTTGACCCCAGATCTCTCACTAGAGAGTCATACTTCTTTCTATTACAAGAGATGTTTACATTCCTCATAATAGGAATGAAAGTGATAAAAAAGGGACAGTGTAAAAATAAAAAAATTAATAAATAAAAAAAAATTAAATCGCCCCTATCCCTCCATGTTCACTCACAGAAGTGAACGCATACATAACTCGCACACGCATATGCACATGGTGTTCGCAGCACACATGAGAAATTACCATGAACATTAGAGTGGGCGCAATAGTTCTAGTGTTAGACCTCTTCTGTAACTCTAAATAGGTAACTTGTAAAAAATTTGAAAGCGTCACCAATGGAGATTTTTTAAGTACCGTAGTTCGTCGCCATTCCATGAGTGTGCAAAATTTTAAAGTGTTACATGTTAGGTATCTATATTCTCTTTCATATTTTACAAAAAAATTGGGGGTATATATTGTGTTTTTTTTTAATTCATTAGCATGTATTTTTTTCCAAACAAATTGCGTTTAAAAAACCGCTGCGTAAATACAGTGGAACATAAAAAATTGCAACAATCACCATTTCATTTTCTATGATCTTTGCTAAAAAAAAAAATTATATATATATATATATTTATATTAAGTAATTTTCTAGGAAAAAAGTACTGATTTAAACTTGTAAACAAAATGTGCCAGAAAATGCTTGGTCAGCAAGTGATTATGTGTGAGTGTTTACAGCCAGTTTTGGAGGTTTTTCCAATGCATTTTTGCATGTTTTTTTTGGGGCATATTAACCTCCTCGGCGGTATGATTATTTCATATTTTTGGTGCTGAAAGCGGTACCATTATTTTGCATGGAAATATGTAGTTTTTTTTTATTGTAGGCTGTAATTTTTAGGAATAACTCACTGAAATCTGTCTGAACAAGATTCTAAATCATACATTTAATTCAATAATATAATCAAACCAAAAACACTGAAATGTGAAATAGAGCGAAAAGTTCGCACATCGCTGAGCAAAGTCGCAAAATTGTTTTCAGTGTCTGATGACGAATTTCTCCACGAATCATTATCACTCAATTCTGCAAGTGGTTCTGATTTACTATCGCTGTTCTCTAGCTGGTCTAAACCCGCTTTTGACCTAAAGGGACACTTTTTGGACGCCATGGACTTTTCTACGTTTCCAGGCAGAAAGAACAATCAAAATGCAGACAGGGGACAGGACAAAGCACTCGGGATAAAATGTATGTGAAATGGGTTGAAACAGCAATGTTTTACTATGTAAAATTGTTTTGAAAAAAAATTAAATTTTTTTAAATTTTCAAATTTCCCCGCCGCCGCCGGCGCCCGTACGTCCCGACGTCACAGGGACCGGAACACAGGAGGCGGATGCCGGCATCGGCCGGAGGAGATGGCTGGGGACGCTGCAGGGGACGCATCGCGGGAGCGAAGGACAAGGTAAGTTCTGCAGGGACTCCCTATGCAGCGCCGCATGGTAAGCCCGAGTGTAGCTCGGGGTTACCGCTTTTGGTATAGAAATTTTTACCCCGAGCTACACTCGGGAATACCGGGAGGTTAAGGCCAGGGCATTTTTATTTCAGCAAATGGAAAGCTAGTTATTAGGAGTAGAAGATGGTATTTTAGACAGGAAACATGCTAATTTTCAGGCATTTTTCTGGCACTCCCATTTAAAAATAGCTCATACACCTTTCTGAGCTTCAGGCATCCAGCGGCAGACACCTAAATGCTTGCTCATATGTGGACAGGCACAATTAGAGACCATGGGATTTTGATTGTTGAGCTTTTTGAAACTTTGAGCGTCAAGCTACAAACACCAGTGGGAATTAGAGCTGAGGGTCTGGTGCTGGATGGGTTTATCTGTAGTAGTGAAAACCTGGAAGGGTTCCAATTCTTTTCTACTCTATCCAAAGAAGAAAAAAAGTTTGGGCTTTACAGTTTAAGTACATATTTAGATGTATAATAGAGATATAAAGTAATTAAACACATTTTTAAAAAGTACAGCTGTTTCCAAATAAAAAACAAAAACCTGTTTCACCACTGGACCACATATAGGTGACCATTCCCCCACTTTAAATGTTGCAGCCCAGCCAGCAGCACATGTCTGTGCTACAGCTCCATGGCCCCAGGCTCTGACAGGACCACTCATGCTGCTGTGATATCTCTCTTCCCGGCTAATCGGTTGTGCTGGAGGAGAGAGAACAGAAGCGCTGTGTTGCTTCAGGGAAAAAGAAGAGAAGCTGTCAGTGGATGCAGCGGTTTTCCATCTGGTCCTGGTATGACTGTGTAGCACTACCCCTGTAGGAATTGCTGACGATTTGAGTCCCACTATAGCCCTGCACAGCCAGGCAACACACATTTTCTCAGACTTGCATTCAGAGTTAGTAAACAGTCCTTGAGCTTGGTTTTATGTTTATTGAGGGGTGTTGAACTTGGATGGGGTTAAGGGATGTATGGGATGTCCAATGGAACTGCAAACAAACTTCTTATCAACTATGTACAAGTCTTTATACAGCAGAAGCCTCTACTGGTGTACCACCCCAGACCCCAGATAATCCTCTTCTTATCTATGCCTGAGGGAATCCCTGGGCAAGGGAATCCAGTGCCTGTTGCTTTAAATGAAACAGTCCTGTGAAAAGAGCTAATCAGGTTTCCCATCAGAGTGCTCTTTTTCCCTTAACTGGGCCAGCGTGTGTAGGACTACTCACTCCTTTCCAGCTTCATTCCTGCAGGTAGGCCTTCTCCCACTGGGCCCCCTCCCATGCTCCTGCATCTCAACTTCCTCACATCTTCCACCCAAACTCTCCCCTGCTACAAAGCAGGGTCAGTCATACCCAAGGGCTGCTCTGATCCCATGCCAAACCTCCTGCCTGGGGACCAGCCAGAGTCCCCCGAATAGGCAAAGCAGCCCCTCCTCACCTCCACCCACTGCTTCTAGAATCCTCGCCAAGACTCTAGAGCAGGGGGAGGTATCAAGGAAATGATCTGCAGAGCCTCTCAGCCTTGACCCAAATTTGAGCTGGATGATTATTGCCCAGGCTGCTACTCAGCCTTTCTGACTAAAAAAATAATCCGCTAGCTCCACCTAGCTAAGAGGGTGCTAAAACTGTATGCTTGGCTTGGAGGTGGATAGAACATAGGCAAGCCTGTACTGCTGGAGCACAGTTTGATGTGGGACAGAATGGAGAGGTGCTGTGTGTGCAGTGGATAGGCTGGACTGGCATACAGCCCACAGGATTACTTCTGCACCTGCGTAAAGATCGCTGTTGCTGTGGTGACTTTTTTATATGAGTGTCGTAGACTGAGCCCAGGGAGAGGAGTGGGCAAGACTGTGGGCAGAGGACTATGTACTGCGGTTGGTGAGAGACTGTTTTCTGTTTAGATTTTCATAAGCATTTCAGAAAAATTGTTCACCACAATCCTTACATTTCTCCAAGACCTGCTATTTGAAGGGAATCCCAGACATATTAAATAGGTTTCGTTACAATATGTATGCTCTTTTTCCCGAAACAAAACCACATTCCTGTTAGAAATTCATTTGTTCAGGAAAAAAATTTCCATCCAGGCTCCTTTGAGTTTTTTTTGCCATTACGGTCAAAAATGAATATCAGTTTGTCAGTAATGATTCAGAAATTGAACGAATGTTCTGATAATGAAAATGTTTGAACTAAATTCTTTTGGTGTATTGCCAGCTTATACCATGGACTTTATCTCTGGACATAAAGTAACATACTGTAGATAATAAAATTCCTCACCTGGCCCCAGACAGATGAATGAATATGAAAAGCTTCATGTGACTTCTGTAGGATTTCCAACCACTTCTTGTTATTGTAGTCATAGCGAGACCCCATTAATATATTAGCAAGGATATTAGAGGAGGCACAGATCAAGGTGGTGCTGGGTTCAACTGGCTCCTCTAAACATATGAAAGTAAAAGGATGTGGTTTATGTGTACTGTATTTGTAAGCACCTCTGCCAATGGTCCATTATTGCGTCAATGGACAAATTCGTTTTTGGAATTTTCTTTGTATTTTTAGCATTGTTTATTCAGAATAGCATAAAAAAAAACAGTGTGGAATCCTACCCACAATCCTTACCAGGCTATTCAAATCTGGTATGAATTTGAAGGGGAACCCTACGCCAAAACACATGAAAAAAAGATATGGGTCCCTCCAAAATCCATACCAGACCCATATCTGAGCATGCAGGCCAGGGAATGGGGGGATGAGCGCGTGCATCCCGCAAACCATACCAGGCCACATTCCCTCAACATGGGGGGTGCTTTGGGGTAGGGGGCTCCCCCTACCCCCAAAGCACCTTGTCTTCATGTTGATGGCGGTTGTTGTGGGGTCTTTGGGAAGGTGGCTTATGGGAATCTTGAAGCCTCCTTTAACAAGGGAGCCCCAAATCCCCGCCCCCCACTATGTGAATGAGTAGGGGCAGGGGCGTATCTACCTCGAGGCAAACAAGGAGTTTGCCTAGGATGGCAATTTTTAGGGGGGGTTCCCTAGACCTGTTGAGAAGCAGCGGACAGCAGGAAGATAGATGTGGTGGGATGTGGGGGAGGGCAGTCGCAGAGCGATGGCCATGTACCTCTCCCTCCAACAGCTGATGAGTCAGGACCAGGGGACAGCCTGGAGCAGGGAGAGAAGCGGCAGAGAGAAAAGAGCCCGGAGGAGGTGAGCTGTGTTGTCTTCTGTGGGCTCTCCCTCCTGTTATCCATCCAGTACATTACACTGACACTGACAGATCATACCGGACTGCACACACCTCTCCCCCCCTCCCTTCCTGCTGCCCAGAGATCAGCAGCCCATGAAGGGGGGGTGTGGTTCCATACAATCTGAGAAAGAGGGGGGAAGAGAGAGGGAAGGGAAAGAGAGGGAAGAGAAAGAAAGGGAAGAGAGAGAGAAGGATGAAGAAAGAGGGGAAGAGAGTGAGTGAGTGAATAGAGAGAGAGAGGGGGAGAGAGAGAGAGCGAAGGGGGGGGGGGTGATAGAGGGGGGAGAGAGGATGGAAGAGAAAGAGGGAGGAGAGAGAGAATGAAGATAGATAGAGAGGGGGAAGAGAAAGAGAGGGAGAAGGAGGGGGGAGAAAGAGATGGAAAAATAGAGAGAGAAAGGGAGAAAGAGAGAGGGGTAAAGAGAGCGAGGAAAGAGAGAGAGAGGGGAAAGAGAGAGAGAGAGAAAGATGGGGGGGGTGAGGGAGAGGGAGAAAGAGAGAGAGAGGGAGAAAAGAGAGAGGGGGAGAAAGAGAGGGATAGGGGAGGGAGAGGGAGAAGAGAGACAGGGAGAGAGAGAGAGAGAGGAGGGCATAGAGAGATGGAGGAAGAGAGAGGGGGAAGATCGAGAGAGAGAGAGAGAGAGAGAGAGAGGGGGGGAGATAGAGAGAAGAAGGAAGAGAGAGGGGAAGAATGGAGAGAGAAAGAGAGGGAGATAGAGAGTGAGAGAGGGGGGAAGAGAAGAGAAGAGAGGGGGGAGAGGGAGAGAGGGGGAGAAAGAGAGAGAGGGAGGAAAGAGAGAGGAGAAAAGAGGGATCGGGAGAACGAGAGAGAAAGAGGAAGAGAGAGGGGGGGAAGAAAGAGAGAGGGAGAGGGAGGAAGAGACGAGGGAGAAGAAGGAAGAGAAAGAGGGGGAAAGAGATAGAGAAAGAGAGGGAGAGAGGGGCGAGAGAGGGAGATAGATAGTGAGAGAGGGGGGGAGCGGAAGAAGAGATGAGAGAGAGGGGGGGAGAGAGAAAGGGAGAAGAGGGAGATGGAAAAATAGAGAGGGAGGGAGGGAGAAAGAGGGAAAGGGAGAGAGAGGGAGGAAGAGAGGGAGAAAGATATAGAGAGAGGGAGGAAGGGAGAGAGGGAGGAAGAGAGAAAGAGGGAGGAAGAAAGAGAGAGAGAGAGGGAAGGGTGGAAGAGAGAGGGAGGGAGAGAAAGAGGAGGGAGGGAGGGAGGGAGAAAGAGAAGGAGAGAAAGAGAGAGGGGGGAAGAGATGAGGGAGAGAGAGGAAGAGGGAGAAAGAGAGGGAGAAAGAGGAGAGAGGGGGAAGAGAGGGAGAAGAGAGAGATGGGAGAGAGAGGGAGAGAGAGAGAGGGGGAGAGGAGAAAGAGGGGGAGGCAGAAGAGAGAGGGAGGGAGGAAGATAGAGGGAGGCAGATAGAGAGAGAGAGAGGGAGGAAGAGAAAGGGGGGTTAGAGAGAAGAAGGAGGGAAGAGAGAGAATCATATATACATACACACTCTTATTGAACTCTCTCCCTCTCATTGGGGAGGGCGCAAAATTTTTGTGTTACCTAGGGCAGCACAAAATCTAAATACACTACTGCATAGGGGTACATAGTTCCCCTACTCATTCTCCAAAAAAGTGTAAAAAGTGAGTAAAAACATGCTTCCTCCTTTCTTGACCTCCCAGGCTGCATGCTCATATAGTGTCCTGGCGTGGATGGGGAGAGGGGGGTGGGAAGGGAATTTGACGCTGTTTTTTTCTTTATTTTTCATTGCCAACATTTTTTGTTTACATTCAGCTGATGAGTTTTTAACAATTCGGTGGCTGTCTTCCTAGCCCACTGCTTAACAACCAACTATTCTTCACACAGACTTTGGATCGGTTTATACATTTTCGATCAATTCAAATTTGAATCATTCTGAAAATGTGGAATTAATTATAAAATTAATAAACCAAACAAAATTAAACTAATTTTAACAAAATTTGTTACTGTTGTTATTCAGAAATTTTGATACATCCGAATCTCTGAATAACCAAATATTCATGCAAATTTAGATTCGGATCAAAACGAATTGCACATGCCTAGTCATTTCTGGATATAGAAGAATGGAAAAGTGAAGGGGGTAGGAAGGGTGCTTTACACTCACTATTTAAGCTTCTGAAGTGTTCCACAATATGATGTGCCTCCTCCAGAATTGGGTCCTCTAAACTCTTCTTACCCATTCCAAAATCTTTAAGAGTTTGAAGGGAAAACTGTCTCAGCTGTTTCCATGGATCTCCATTTACATATGATAAGCCTGAAAAAACAATATGAGCAGAACACACATAAAAATGTGTTTCGAACATCGTTAGTACAAAGTGCTCCGGTCATAAAACACATACTGTATAGTATCTTCCACTGATGACTTCTCCTCCTGAAAATGCTAGTTTCCTGGCTGTCATGTTAATGTTGGTGCTTTAAAGTTCCACTCTGGGCTGCTGTTACATTTATTCTAAATCAGAACCTCCATTCTCCTCAGATGGAAACGGACAGGTGGTCCAATCTCATCCAACCACCCATTGAGGAGAGCGAGCAGCTTTGTGTCTGCTCTGCAGCAGCGGAGTGGACACAGACCTGTCATTCGCTTGCTCAGCGGGCATCAACGGAGAGATCCCCCGGCTGAGCAAGTGGATCTGCTGAACAGACACAGCTCTGTGTCTGCCCTGCAGCAGTGGAGTGGACACAGACCTGTCATTCGCTTGCTCAGCGAGGATCAGAGGAGAGATCCCCGGCTGAACAAGCGGACCTGAAAACCTGGTTCGCTCCATGTGGATGGACCCTTAATGTATGTATGAAAAGAAGCATCATATAAAGACATAACAATAAAATGTAGTGCATACCAAACCCCCCCCCCCTCCCCCCCACAATTCTTCTATCTAGACCAGCGGTTCTCAACCTGGGGGTCGCGACCCCTTTGGGGGTCGAACGACCATTTCACAGGGGTCGCCTAAGACCATCGGAAACCACATATTTTCCGATGGTCTTAGGAACCGAGACACCACTCCTGTCTCAGGCGATCTGTGGACGGGATGATATGCTGCCCCTGTAACCTGGCCACACCTCCGGGATCACTCAACAGCTCCGCCTCCTCGCCGCTGATTGGCCACCGGAACTGTAGCTCAGGAGAGGCACACAGGCGGCCAATCACCGGCGAGGAGGTGGAGCTTGGAGAGGAGGAGCCGAGCGGCAGCACGCGGAGATCAAAGAAGATCGAGGGAGCTGCAGGAGCGAGTGAAGAGAGAGGCCAGAGAAGGAAGACAGCTGACAGGTAAGTGCAAATTTTGCTGCTGCAGCCAGGTATGCAGGCTGTAGATGGGAGAGGGAGAGGGCGAGCCCAGGCTGGAGCAGGAGTCAGCAAGGTAAGTATCATTGGTGTCAGTGGGAGGAATAGTGCCCCATCATTGGTGTCACTAATACCAACGATGGGGCACTATTCCTCCCACTGACACCAACGATGGGGCACTATTCCTCCCCCCACTGACGCCAACGATGGGGCACTATTCCTCCCCCCACTGACACCAATGATGGGGCACTATTCCTCCCCCCACTGACACCAAGAATGGGGCACTATTCCTTCCCCCACCGACACCAACGATGGGACACTATTCCCCCCCCCCACTGACACCAATGGTGGGTCACTATTCCCCCCCCTGACCCCAATGATGGGGCACTATTCCCCCCTCCACCACACTGACACCAATGATGGGGCACTATTCCTCCCACTGACACCAATGATGGGGCACTATTCCTCCCACTGATACCAATGATGGGGCACTATTCCTCCCACTGACACCAATAATGGGGCACTATTCCTCCCACTGACACCAATGATGGGACACTATTCCTCTCACTGACACCAATGATGAGGCACTATTCCTCCCACTGACACCAATGATGGGGCACTATTCCTTCCACTGATACCAATGATGGGGCACTATTCCTCCCACTGATACCAATGATGGGGCACTATTCCTCCCACTGACACCAATGATGGGGCACTATTCATCCCACTGATACCAATGATGGGACACTATTCCTCCCACTGACACCAATGATGGGGCACTATTCCTCCCACTGATACCAACGATGGGACACTATTCATCCCACTGACACCAACGATGGGGCACTATTCCTCCCACTGACACCAACAATGTGGCACTATTCCTCCCACTGATACCAACGATGGGACACTATTCCTCCCACTGACACCAATGATGAGGCACTATTCCCCCACTGATACCAACGATGGGACACTATTCCTCCCACTGATACCAATGATGGGACACTATTCCTCCCACTGATACCAATGATGGGACACTATTCCTCCCACTGATACCAACGATGGGACACTATTCCTCCCCACTGACATCAGTGATGAAGCACTGTTCCTCTCACTGATACCAATGACATGGCACTATTCCTCACACTGCAAAATTACAGTTATGAAGTAGCAACGAAAATAATTTTATGGTTGGGGGTCACCACAACATGAGGAACTGTATTAAGGGGTCGCGGCATTAGAAAGGTTGAGAACCACTGATCTAGACGGAAGCAGACTCTCAGCTACAAGCACCATATACATGTCATTTTAGAACAAGGAGGAGATCCAGGCAAAAATGACAGCAATTAAACATCAGTACACTTGCAGAGATACAAGAAAGAACCTTCAACTGGCATCTGGACACTCAGGATTAGGGATGAGCTCAGTGTTCAATCTGAATGCCCAATGGCCAGCACAGTGGCTAAGTGGTTATCACTTCTGCCTAGCAGCACTGGTTCAAATCCCAACCACAGCACCACCTGCCTAGAGTTTGTATGTTCTCCCTGTGCCTGCATGGGTTTCCTCCGGGTACTCCGGTTTCCTCTCACACTACAAAACATGCTGGTGGGTTAATTGGCTCCTGTCTAAATTGACCCTAGTATGTGTGTGTATGAATGTGAGTTAGGGACCTTAGATTGTACGCCCCTTGAGGGTTAGGGACTGATGTGAATGTACAATATATATATATATATATATATATATATATATATATATATATATACAGTTGTGTTCAAAATAATAGCAGTCAGACATCACCAACCTGACCAATCACTGTTTTTGGTAGAAATGATATTTCTACATGGCAAATAATTTACTAGCAGGTGTAGTAGAGTAATAGAAATCCAACAGACCCAACAGTCATGACATGCATGCTGCTGATTCTGTGTAATTGAATCACTAATTGAAAGGGGCATGTTCAAAATAATAGCAGTGTGGAGTTCTATTAGTGAGGTCATTCATTCTTTGAAAAACAGGTGGCAATTATTGCCCTTATTTAAGGAAGGAAGGCAGCAAATGTTGTACATGCTGGTTACAGTGCATTTCTCTCTGAAATTCTGAGGAAAATGGGTCGTTCCAGACATTGTTCAGAAGAACAGCGTACCTTAATTAAAAAGTTGATTGGAGAGGGAAAACATATAAAGAAGTGCAGAAAATGATCGGCTGCTGAGCTAAAATGATCGCAAATGCTTTAAAATGGCAACCAAAACCTGAAAGACGTGGAAGAAAGCAAAAAACTACCATTCGAATGGATAGAAGAATAGCCAAAATGGCAAGGACTCAGCCAATCGGCTCCAGGAAGATGAAAGAAGGTCTAAAGTTCCCTGTGAGTACTGTTACAATTAGAAGACGCCTATGTGAAGCCAAGCTATCTGCAAGAAGCCCCCGCAAAGTCCCACTGTTGAAAAAAAGACGTGCTGAAGAGGTTACAATTTGCCAAAGAGCACATTGACTGGCCTAAAGAGAAATGGCGCAACATTTTGTGGACTGATGAAAGTAAGATTGTTCTTTTTGGGTCTAGTGGCCGGAGACAGTTTGGCAGACGACCCCCAAACACTGAATTCAAGCCACAGTACACTGTGAAGACAGTGAAGCATGGTGGTGCAAGCATCATGATATGGGGATGTTTCTCATACTACGGTGTTGGGCCTATTTATCACATACCAGGGATCATGGATCAGTTTGAATACATCAGAATACTTGAAGAGGTCATGCTGCCTTATGCTGAAGAGGAAATGCCCTTGAAATGGGTGTTCCAACAAGACAACGACCCCAAACACACCAGTAAACGTGCAACATCTTGGTTCCAGACCAACACAAGATTGACGTTATGGAGTGGCCAGCCCAATCCCCGGATCTTAATCCAATAGAAAACTTGTGGGGGGACATCAAAAATGCAGTTTCTGAGGCAAAACCAAGAAATAGAGAAGAACTGTGGAATGTAGTCCAATCATCCTGGGCTGGAATACCTGTTCACAGGGGCCAGAAGTTGGGTGACTCCATGCAACACAGATGTACAGCAGTTCTCAGAAACAGTGCGACTACAGCCAAATATTCATTAAGTGATTCAAAGGAAAACAAAATCTTCAAACATTTTTCAGTTTATATAGTGAATGTTTGAGTTTGTAAAGAAGAATACAAACACTGCTATTTTTTTTGAACAGTCTAATATTCACTTTTCTTCAATTTTTTTTTAGAGGAACAACACAAATTTGATCTGTTTTTCATCATGTTTTGATTTGGAATAGAATGTGTTGTGTTCCCAATGCATTTGTGTGTATGGAAATAAAAGCTATTAGAAGGATTCTGAGCTTTATTCACTTTTTCCACACACTGCTATTATTTTGAACACAACTGTATATATATTGTGACAGGATGAACGGCGAGGTGATAGAGGGACGCTATGTGTCACCTCGCATATGCTCATACCTGACCGTTTAGGTGGAGTCCACTCCGGGTTTTCGGGGCCACAGTTAAGCAGGTGGGTCCGGACCAGAGTTTGGGCTCCACTGATGACCACCAACAGGTGGTATAAATAAGGCAGGGCTGGAGCAGGGAGTTGCTCGTGGCCTGGGGCTCAGAGAGGTGTTCTGAGAGAGCTGTGTGTGTACTATACCTACAAGAAAAGGTTTGCTTTTGTTTTATTTCGGTGACAGGGAGAAGCCCTTCACCTCTGAGAGAGGAAATGCCTTTTGTTTAGTTAGTGCCTGGATGGCAAGGGTTTATTTTCATGTTTTGTTTATTTTCTGCAAACCTTTTAAATAAAGCTGACAACCAGTCAGATTTTGATGAAAGCCTGCTGTGCGGTCTACCTTTGTCCAGGGAAGGAGATCCCCCACCTGAGCTAACCCCACATATGGTGGAGGATGCGGGCAGTTCCTGAGCAAGTGGGGAAAATGGAGGAAATAAAAAGAGCCTTGCTGCAGCCAATGCAGCACAACGGGAGACAAATCGCCAGTTTGCAGAGACCGCATTTCAAAGGCTGAAACAAGCTCTCAAAAGTGCTCAACCTGTGCTTGTGACACCAGATTTCACAACAAAGTTTGTGGTACAGACTGATCCTCTGACGTGGGTACTAGGTGCGGTACTGTCCCAAAAGTCAGAGATGGGGAGGAGCACCTCTTTGGTCTATCCTAAGTAGAAAGCTCAATTATGTTGAGGTCAGGAGATTGTGAAAACTATGCATGGCAAAAATGTTCATTTAATGGGCTCTTGAGGCCCTGAAATATTACCTGTTTTGAGGAAGACCGTTATCAAGTTGGTTACTGATCATGCCCCGCTCAAATGGATGTGTGATAATAAGGAGAAAAACAGTCGAGTGACAAGGTGGTTTCTCCTGCGCTACAAGTGTTCAAATTCACAGTGGAACACAGAGCGGGGAAACTGCAAAGTAATGTAGATGCCCCTTCTTCTCCAAATGTCTCCCGGGTCCATTTTCTGGTTGGGACAGTTGCTCAGCCGCAGGGGCTTGACAAAGTTCAAACGATGGGGATATGGACAGTAGAACGAGGTTTTCTTCTGATGACTCTTCCTATGAAGACCTATTTGTACAAGTATCCTTTATAGTGGAATAGTGTACCACATACTCCAGTGTCTGCCAGATTTTCTGGAGGTGGAGTCCACTCCGGGTTTTCGGGGCCACAGTTAAGCAGGTTGGTCCGGACCAGAGTTTGGGCTCCACTGATGACCACCAACAGGTGGTATAAATAAGGCAGGGCTGGAGCAGGGAGGTGCTCGTGGCCTGGGGCCTTCAGAGAGGTGTTCTGAGAGAACTGTGTGTTTACTATACAACTGCTAGAAGAAAATGGTTTGCTTTTGTTTTATTTCGGTGACAGGGAGAAGCCCTTCACCTCTGATGATTGAGAAAATCCATGCCTTTTGGTTCAGTTGTGCCTGGATGGCAAGGGTTAAATTCTGCATTTTTGCAAACACCATTTTTTTGTTTTCTGCAAACCTTTTAAATAAAGCTGAAAACCATCAGATTTTGATGAAATTATGCTGTGCGGTCTACCTTTGTCCCAGGGAAGGAGATCCCCCACCTGAGCTAACCCCACTATATATATATAAATATTTTATATATAAATTTTGATATATATATGTGTGTGTGTGTGTGTGTGTATGTAAAGTACTGTGTAAACTACATAAGTAACTGAAATAAATAAACAACATTTAGGGCATTCCAGCTGTCGATGGTTTGGCTTGTCTTGCTGTCGCTCCGTCCTTATCAACTATTGAAGTCTCTGACCCATTCACTTACATGACAGAGAATCCCTGGCTATGTAAACAAATGGGCTGGGACAGCTTTGACATCAATTCCCAAATATGGTCACATGGCCATATGTGGGCAACGCTGTCAATGATTGTTAAAGCGGAGCTCCACCCTAAAGGGGAAGTTTCGCTTTAAGGCTTTATCCCTGCTCCCCATTAAGGATTGGCACCTTTTAGGAGCAGGGAGGGAGTACCCGAACTTGACAGGTACGGGCTTCCACTTCCGGTGCAAGCGCCTAAGGCAATCGGAAGCGGAAGTTGTCCTCCTCCTTTTCCTCCCCCATAGTCTTCTGGGACACGTGACAGGTCCCAGAAGACTACAGGCACCATTCATAAAGTGCAGCGCTACTTGCACATGCGCAGTGGAAACTGAGGAACAGGTAAGGAACAGGTAAGAGTCTGTATTTTGAAAGTCAGCAGCTACAGTTTTTGTAGCTGCTGACTTTTATTTTTTTTTTTATTCAACTGGAACTCCGCTTTAAGGAAGCAGTGGCTGCTGACAGCTTTGGCGTCCTTACTAGCCACTGACGTCACCCCCGGCCCATTCAGTCCCTGGCCATGTAAGCAAATTGGTGCAGGGACACCGGTTAAATCACTGCCCAAATATGGCCATATTTTGGAAATGATATCACCAGTATACCCGCCCCTTCTTTTACATAGCCAATGACAGCTTGGGGAGCTATCACTAGGCTAGTGTTCCCATTGAGGATTGATCGTGTGCACTGGGTCTTCTACTTTTTTTCTTACCTCCATACTTGAAAAGACGGTCAAAAACGGGCATGGCTCCTCGATTCAGAAAAGCATCGCCACAGTCAGTAAACACCTCCTTTAAAGCTTCATACCCAGTGACAACAACAGTGGGCCTTAAACCAAAGTAAACAGTGCAGACAGGACCGTACTTTTTGGATATCTGTAGATGTAAAAGCATATAGTTTACATAGTTGTCTCACGAGACACAAGCTAAGGATTTTATCTTGTATTTCTGGCTATTATTAGTATTGTTATTTATTATTATTTATTATTATTAATAATAATAATAATAATAATAGTTAATATTTATATTTTTATTGTGATACACAACTGTAGTATATATAGGCCAATTATGTCAGCTTGATTGAAGTTTAAATTAGAGCCAGTTGTATATGTTTTGGGGCAGTATCCCAACCTCCCAATGGGAGGAACTTGTATTACACCATGTGACCTCTTTCTCAGTCTTATAAAGACTGTCAATGTAAGATGTGACATTGGCTCTGAGGAAGAGAAGACTGCTGCTTGAAACGCGTCAGCCATCTAGAGGGTCCTCTCGTGATTGGGAACTGATCTGGTGATTTGGTTGTCCTGGTTGTGACGATCGTGACGTCAGACCCCCAGCCCTTCTCACCAACTCGTGACCGAAGGACTAGCCAATCTAAAACCGCGCTGTCACGTGCGTAACAATGCCATGCTCAGCTGAACCCTGCACAAAGATTTTCCAGCTAATGGACCACAATCTATGTACTTGCAGCCTGAGAGCAATTGTTACTGGGTCAGGTTAATTACGCAATTAACCCTTCGCGCTGCCACCACCACCCTTTTTGTAGAGAAAAGGAGGAAACTCGCCAATATTAGCAATAACACTATCATGTTTGAATAATCATCTGTATACACAATGTCACCGCAGACAGATGTATGCAGACATTTAAAAACACACAATAGCGCTCTTCAGAGTTAGGGATTCTTAGTTTGCATTAAAGAGCTTTAGAAACAGTTCAACACTTTTGAGAAAATAAGATTTATTATTAAAAAGGTCAAAATGGTGCAATAAAAGAATTTACAGAAAACGATGTAGCCAATATATATATATATATATATAAAAATACAGAGAGCAATAACACAGCAAAGAGATAACAGAAAGAAGTTTAGAGAGGTAAAGTACTTGCCAAAAGTCCCCGGTTAAGCAGATCAAGTTTCCTGAGCAAAAGGGTGCCTTTTCTCCCAAAGTTGGTTCCAATGTTAAAAGGGAGAATTCTTCAACTTCAACTTACTGCTCCAAGCATAACAGCCATTTTCTAGGAACTCAGCAGGGTGTCTCCTTACAGCAGAGAACCAATCGCCTAATTTGGGGAGGGGTGTTGTAGGCGGGGAACTCAGGCTATGACCAAATCACTCTCAGTTTATATCATGGTCAATAACCTTCCCTAGGGACATGTAACATTCTATCCACGGGTAGATTAATAAGCAGAATCATCTGCTGAATGTCTCGATATCAAACATGCCATATTTTACTATTCCAGCTAGAACTATGTGGCTTTCTGCTCTCCTGTAGACTTCCACTGTAAGATATCAGACGACTCGCATTAAACTGAGTTATCTGAATATATGCTTTTTGTAATTATGTAATTATTTCCTACCTTAAGATATAAAATTATATGGATAAATGGGTTTTAAATCTGAGGTCTGTTTACGGCTAGCTGGAATGTCTTTGAAGCCCAGTGAAGGACTGGTTTATGGTTTTACGATTATCTCAGATTGAGAAGCTAACAGACACCCGGGCAGCAGCTAATTTGGGATTTATAACCATGAAGCTCTCCAGCTGGGCCTGATGCCTGTGATCTCTCGGCATCATACAGACCACATTCCTGAGGGAGGAGGAATTGGAGGGAAGCTGATTTAGAGTAGAAATGATACAAGATGGAGGGCCTTTGGCAAAATGGAGGTTCGCATCTATCTCTGTACATACAATTCTTACACTGGTCTTTGATACACTTTTGTTACCATAGTTGTTTGTGAGTATATATCGACTCTGGATTTAGCCACTTGCCCTCCAGAGGATTTACCTCCCTTCCTGACTAGACCATTTTTTTCTGATACGGTGCTGCGTTTAACTGACAATTGCGCGATCATGTAATGCTGGACCCAAATGACAGTTACATCCTTTTCCCCCCACAAATAGAGCTTTCTTTTGGTTAAATTTGATCTGTATTTTAAATTTTTTGCGCTATAAACAAAAAAAGATTGACAATTTTGAAAAAAAAATATTTTTGAATTTTTGCTATTAAACATGTCCAGTAAAAAAAATTTAAAAAATCAAATTTCGTCATACATTTAGGCCAAAATGTATTCTGCTCCATGTCTTTGCTAAAAAAAAAATCCCAATACATATAAATTAATTGGTTTACGTGAAAGTTATAGTGTCTACAAATGGTGGTATATATACTGGAAATATTTAAAAAAAAATTTATGCTAGTAATGGCGGCGATCAATGACTTATAGTGGTACTGTGGTGACACTGGGGGGGACGACACTGACTAACTGCCACTGACATCCCCAGTGACAACGATCCAGTGATCAGTGCTAATTAAAAGCACTCACACTGCACTAATAACACTGGGAAGGAAGGGGTTAACATCTGGAGTGATCAAAGGGTTAACTGTGTGCTGTGTCTTTTACTAGGGAGACATGCTGCTTTGTATCTCTGTGCAGAGAGATACAAAGGAGCGTGTCCATGCTGACAGGAGAGACTTGTGCTTACACAGAGGTCTCTCCCCTGTCAGCTTTCCCCAATGATCACCGGATGCTGGCAGGGAATCGCCGATCGGGACCTGGAGATTGACATCGCTAGCCCCAATGGTGGTGCCTGTAGAACGGCACATGCGCGCGACCCCAACCTGGAAATTATTATTTATTATTAAATGCGAAATCACGTATATATACAAGATTTTGTGCCGCCCTGTCGCCCTGTAGCAGTATTTCTGACTTTCTCTGAGTTTCCCCCGACCCTTAGAGTGCAGCAAGGCCTATGCTAACACTGGATTTCCTCCATAGTACACCACTCTTGAGCGCAGGGGACTTTTCGTTTCTGCCTTTCCATATTTTAATAACTGCCTGCTTTATCTGGTTTATAGGACAATATTCTTACAATTTAATTCCTGGCAGGCCTGTCACTATCAAAGCACGCCACTATCAATTTTCCCCGTGTGTACACTACTACAAGCCCCAGGACTTTTTTCCAGGAATCTCAGGCTCACTGGAGTCTAAAGCTTAGTACACACGATGAGAAAATCGGATGAAAAATACCGCTTTCAGATCGATCGTCTGATAATCTGATCGTGAGTACACAGCTTTTGAGAGCCGATCATGACAATTCATGCAAAATTATTCGAAAGGGCAAGTACAAAACTTTTTCTTGTACAAAAACAGAGCGAACGATTTTTGTTTCATCAGTATAGTACTCGTCTAAAAAAATTGTGTGACCCAGACTATGTATGCTCAGAAACGAAAGAATACATTACAATACATCACTTCCGAAGTTGTATTCTGTTGTGCGAGAGTTTTTGTAACTTTAGCAACCTCTTCATTTCTCATATGCGATGAGCATGCAAAAAAAACCCCAAAAAACAGATGATAATTTATCCGATATTCTCGTGGTGTGTACTGGGCTTTAGCTTGGGTTCACACTCATGCGGAATTCATGTGGAATTCGCACCGGTCTCTGTGCGAATTCCGCACCGCATCATAATCGCACCCCGTTCATGTGAACCGCTGCGGGTATGTATGTTAACAATACCCCAAAAACACGGTGCGATGTGCAGAAACGGATCACATAGGTGTGAATACAAACAAAAAAGGGTGCTGCACATTTTTGATACGGATGCAAAGCGATTTGAGCCATACAAAAGGTATGGCTCAAATCGCACCGCACCGCACAGAATGTGACTTGCACAGGAATGCCGCACTGCAGAAGTGTGAACCCAGGCTTAAAGTTGTCTGTCATGGTGGAAGTAGGATCTTATCTCCCCAATAGGGACACAATAACACAAAAAAAATTAAAATTAAATTTAAACTTCTCCCTTTTCTGTTCAAAAAAGGCTTCAGAATACCTTCAGACATTGAAATCAAGTTTGCAGCGGGAAAGGGTGGGGAGCTGGGATTGTTGTTTGTGTCTTTGTTGGATCCCAGCCCTCCTTGGGTTCTATCCTATCTCCAGTCTGTCCAAAACTAATATGTTTTCCCTGGAATCAGACTCTAAAGCCGTACACTGCATGAAATGTGCTTTCAATGCAATATTTAAATATATATAAAAAATCACTACCATGATTCTGATGCTGGAAAATGTTTCACTTTACCTAAAAAAGGGAAAACCAGAGTTAGGCTTACCGTTAACTCCTTTCCTACGAGTCTTCCAGGACAGCCCCTTGAGACGTAGAGCTCCTCCCTACGGGTCAGGAAACGTAATCCCCATGCCTTAAAGGTGGGCCTCTATCCTCAGTTTTACCTGAGAACTACCGAAAGACACTGAAAGACACAAACATTTAAGTAACCAAATATATATTACTTGTACATCCTCAGGGTGGGAAATCACGGCTGTCCTGGAAGACTCGTAAAAATGGAGTTACCGGTAAGCCTAACTCTGGTTTTCTCCCAGCGTCTACCAGGACAGCCCCTTGAGATGATAATCAAGAATTTACCCCCCTAGGGCAGGGCCACTGCCTGGAGGACCTTGCGCCCAAATGCCTGCTCCTAACTTGATAGGATATCCAGGTGATAATGCTTCACAAAGGTAGAGAACTTGGACCAGGCGGCTGCCTTACATATTTCCTCCGGAGAAGCACCGGCTCTCTCTGCCCAGGATGCTAATAAGGATCTAGTTGAGTGTGCATTAACAAACAGGGGAGGAATCTCCAATAATTCATAAGATTCCGTGATAGCTAACCTAATCCATCTCGCTATGGTGGATTTGGATGCTCTAGAACCTTTCCTTGCTCCTGCAAAAAGTACAAAACGGGAATCCGAATTTCTAAATTCTAGGGACCAACTAAGATAGACCATAAGGCTTCTTTTCACATCAAGTCAATTCAATCTCTCTTCTTCCCTACTGCCAGGAGAAGAACAGAAGGTCGGTAGGACTATATCCTGAGAACTATGAAAGGAGGACGACACCTTAGGGAG